TGTGTGTGTGTGTGTGTGTGTGTGTGTGTGTGTGTGTGTGTGTGTGTACTTACCCTCTCTGTGTTTGCCCCTGAGAATTTGCCTCTGTGTTTGACAAAGGTCAGGGGGCCAGACTTGGAGAGAGAAAAGGGGAAATGAAAGAAAGTAAAGGATTTGAATGAGGTGGTGAGGGAGAGGGGGAGAGACGGTGAGCAGGATGAAAAAGAAGGCAAAGATCTGACAGAGAGAGAGAGAGAGAGAGAGAGGTGGGGGGGAGGACATTTTTAGACGGAAAAGAAGACCAGGCACCTTGAAATTTGTGTGGCGAAATAGTCCACTGCTTCACAGCACGAGCGGCGTAAATTGGTGATATTTATAGATTGAAACTCCAGGAAGCAGCGACTCATTCTGGGAAATATGTATAGAGAAAGAGAAAGCGAGAGGGAGAGAGAGAGAGAGAGCGGGAAAGAGAGGGGGGGGTGAGAGGGAGATCAAGAGCGAGGCTGCATTAATATGCTAATGAACTGAGTGAATGCACAACAGGCCCACTGACCACGCTAATCACTGGTGGACACACACTGAGGCTAATCCTTCATGCAGCACTCACACACACATGCAGGGACACAAGCACATACAGTTCAAATATTTGGACAGTGGCATATTTTTTGTCGCTTTGTCTCTGTATTCCAGCTCATTGGATTTGAAATGAAACACTGAGTAAGTATTTGTGTGGGAATTATATCCCTTTTTTAATATACAGACCCCAAATTTGATGACAATATAGCAGGAGGATGATCCCAAACAGACAAAGCAACCAAAGAATTTACAGGGTCAGATGGTAGAATCTCCACAATCAAACTGATCATGCGTTTCACTTGACCAGATCCATACAAAAAAGATCGACTGCCATACAGTAGCAGGGAACATACAAAGTGTCTGCTGATGTTGGGCTGCAAACTTTAGATAAACTGCTTTACTGATTGCATAATTAAATGAATACAAGTTCATGTAACATTTTCAAATATTTGAGTTGGAGGGGAAAGAGAATAATGAGACAAACAATTAAAAAGTTTTAGATGGATGCACAATACATGATGATTTATTTCAAATCTAGTGTGCAGGAGTGCAGAGCCAAAATAATCGGAGAACATGTCACCATCCAAATGCTGAGAGACATGAGGGAGAAGACCTGCAACCATTTCATTCACAATAATGCACAATGTCAGTGGCTCCCAGTGTCAGTGTGTGTGTGTGTGTGTGTGTGTGTGTGTGTGTGTGTGTGTGTGTGTGTGTGTGTGTGTGTAATCATTAATATTGCTGTCATATTATAGGTCAAAATGCAGAGTCCTAAAAATAAACTTTTTATAAGCAGTTGTGCGTCTTGGTCTGTGTGTCTTCCTCTGTAGCTGATTGTCACATGTGAACTTTGAGTGGGGAAAAAGATTGTTACTCTTGAAAAGACAAAAAAGCTTCATGAATTAAAAGACACCATGAAGTAAGTGTAACAAGGGTTGTGCTGTTCTATTTCTACACAATTTGTCATATATACGTACGTCATAGAAAATACATTATTTTAATAGTTTAGTTCAGTGATCATTGTAACCTCGATTACTTTGACTCTCTGTATCAATAGCATAATGTCAAAGAAAAAAACCTGATGAGGAAAATTACACAGAATTTGGAAGACCGATTAGTAAAAACGGATTATTTGTATCTCAATCAATCAATAATTCAACTTTGACTAAATAAGAACAAAAGTAGATATGACTAATTACCTTTTCCCTGTAGTGAAATAAATGGGCAACAGTGACTGCCTGGAATGCAAAGTGTACACAAAATGTATTTGGAAAGTAGTTTGTAGCTAAAAATCTCTAACACCTGCATCGTTATTAGGATAAAATTGTGCATTCAAACTAAAAAAAGTATAAAAATGTCCTTAACACTGGGGTCCATATGTTTTGTGTAATGCTATTCAAGCCCCCTTGAGGGTGATAAAGCATCGACAATCTGCTGTAGTCCTTCCTGCAGAGGTGGAAGGAGCAACATCCTAAACCATGAAAAGGTCTTAGGTTTTAACTTTTTGAAACAAGGCAGGTGTGTAAACTGTGAACACAGACACAGACTTTCATACCTCATCTACATATTATCTACAAACAAAAGAAAATGTTTGTGTACACCTGTGGTGATGCAAAACTGACCTGATAATATTATTGTTTTTGATTATTATTGTAATATATATTAGTGATGCATAAATGACATTTGGAATAACACCTAACAATCTCTGTCTAACCTTCCTGTTAAATGATAAGGAATGCAGCAAAACCAAAATTCATACAAAGTAGGCCTACTGTAGCAAAAATAATGACAACAATAATGTAAAATATTTAGATCAACAAAATAGTGTTGTGAAACATCCTCACGGGACAGTTTTTAAGAAATATTATATTTTACAACTTATCACACAGGAGCTGGTGCATTGTCTGCTGTAATTCTCTGTAATCAATAATCTATTATTATGGTGGCACAACACTACAACATACCATTTACAGTCACAGAAAGATATGCACACCGCTGAATTTTTGTTGCTACACTACCAGCATCCTTAAAATGAATACACATCAGCTCATATGCTGATATATGCTCATTAGCTGTGTTTTTTGTAAATCATGCAGATTGTTTTCAAGTTGATGCAGCATGATAAATACAGTAAATTTAGAACAATCTGCTGTCAGCTCGACATAAATACCTGTGTATTGCTTAACATGGCACAAAAAAACTACCCATTTAGCTAGCGGAAATAATCGGATTCAATTTATAAACATTGTAATGTGGATGCTGAGGATATACATTGTCAATAATGTTTTCATTGATTTCTATAGGATATGAGACAAAGCGCTGTCTGTTTACAGTGAATAAAAAGAAGATTTGAGGTTGATACATATCATAAACCCAAATGTGATTGTGTTGTAAATCTAGTGTATTTCCCATGTGCAGTCATAGTATGACTGATGCCCTTGCAAGAATAGAAATATTTGTATAATTGATTTACAACAAGATGAAGAGATATCTTCCATCGCAGCAGAAACACCAATGCCCTCCAACAACCTTTCAGCAAAGGACTCGCTGAACTTGTCTTGACCTCTTGACCTGTTGCTCTCCCTCACTGACATGTGAGAGGCAGCATGACCACACAACCACTCTTCTACTGCTTAAAGAGACCCGGGCTGCTCGGTTTTGAAGTGATTCTGAGCCAATGTTCAACTGTAAGAGAGCCCTATGCCAGATCCTCCACCATCATCATGTTTTCATCTTTGCAGGGGGAGGGAGGGCTGACTACGAGGCAAAGTGGGGGGAGAAAGAGACACACGCGGGGCCTAGTCGCCACATCTTTTCATGCGAAGAAGCTGTGCCGCTAAACCGTCAGTAAACCGTATTTATTTTCACCTCAATATATCTTTACAGCACGTAGCTAGGTTATGTCTAGGGTAAGTACATATAGGTGGAACAACTAGTCCTAAACTGGTCTGTTCTTGGCTCTCTAGCTCTCCTCCGGTGCTTCGGGTGAACTAGCTGGCTAGCTAGCTTAGGTGGCTAAACCTAGTTTTTGACTAAATGTAGCGTTAAAGGACTGTTAGTCTGACAAATCATGCTGAGATATGCAATAATAATTGAGTGTATAATGTTATTAAAGTAGGGTAGCTAACACAAGCCAGTTAGCTTTACGGTAGGCACAGACATCTGGACCGTTAGCTAGTAACCTTAGCTAGCTTACGAGCTATGCAATAGCTAACGTTAGCGTGCAAGAACGGTGGTTTGTTGCCATCCGTCTGGGCTCTATCTACAGAGTGGAATGGGACGTATTCGTATCTACGTTAAAACTAGTCAACATAATCATTGTTTGGTACCATTAGATTGTTTCATATTTAATAAATAATACAGTGTATTTGCTCAGTTATCGGTTTACCAGCTGACTGTTTTGCAAAGACCTGTCTGAACGATACGTCAAAAGCCAAAAATGCATGAAAGACACACATATTTCTAGTGACAAGCATACAGACAGCTCATAACGGTGCAGTAGACTGATGGATGCTAGTTTTGTTTTTCATTTGTATAACCAAATGTGCATTCTCTCTGCCACATCAGTATTTTATTTGAAGCTCTCCCTTGTGTTGGAATTCCAGACCCGTTTTTGGTTTCCAAAAACAACTCTGGCCCGGGCCTCAGTCCGCGGTCTAGAGTTTGATAGCGGGCCGTTTGAGACGGTCGTACGTCGGTGTGTAGCTGCCTGCCAGCCCCTGTGGCCCGACCAGCACCATGGGAGATAGTAGAGGTGAGAAAATAACGGCACGGATTTTGTCATCAGCTATGCAACGACATGAATGTCGAGCAAGAATTGCTTTTGAAATCTGATATTGATAACAGCTACAACTGTACAAATTTACTCACACGTTTCTTATCATGACTGTAAATGCAGGCCTATGAAAGACATGGGTTATGGTGAAACTAAGATGTAGGCCATTCAAGACTTACTTATATATAAATAAATATTTAAGCTTTTTAAAAGGCATGCCTCCCAGCTGGCACATATGACTCATACCCTGTCCTCCAGAGTGTGCAACCATTTGAATAAAGTCCATCAGGGTCAGGCCTCCAAATTCGATCCCACCATTTATTTAAAGCAAAGTGCGATTTGACGCTGTATTATTGTGACGGTCTTGATGACGTTTGTTACCAAATTGTTGCTGTGCTCTAAGGAAAATGATAGAGTTTACTATTTGGCCCACTGTTCACTACTCATCCTTATCCAAAACACCATACAGTACCATGAGAGCAATGTATCAGTGCACCGCTGATGACGTGCAGCACCAGTGCGTATTCCTACCATGGTAACATGGCGGTGCTGGTGGTGCCGTATTCAGCTTGTTTAGCCACACATTTTACTGTGCACCTTGAAATCAGTATTCCTCACAAGTAGTTATGAAATGCTATACTTACGCTTTGTGAAATATGTGACAGTTGGAGTTGTACCAGTGTTCGACATTGATAGAGACTTATGAGAACACTAAAATCAAAAATGTTGGAGAAACAATGTTCTCAGTATTTCAAAGCATGGTTCCTTGTTTGTTGACTTGATAAGTGTTCACATGGTTGTGCAAGCACTGTCTTCTGTGGGCCACAGTAGGTGATTTATGTGAGCATATGATTGGTTGATTTCTTTCCAGTGTGTTTGAGGCAAGACAGATAGATTAGATAAGATGACAAACAAGTACGCAGCCCCAGGCAGTGGAACTGCAGCACACAGCTAGCTGCAGAAGAAAGCAAAGACAATACCAACCACAGCATGAACAACAATAAAGAAATAAAACAATATGCACCACAAAACCACATCAAAAGTCCACCAGATTCAAGTCACCGAGATTCTAGAAAGTGTATTTCTTCCTCTTGACATCTCAGGTGTTGTGTGAAAGCTGATGATTAATCCCGACAAGTGGAGAGAATAACTACTTCTTGCCCTTCACTTCGTGTCTTTAGGCACCACCCTCTGGGATGTTGAAAGCAAAGCACCTTTTACTGGAATGCTGGGATACCAACAGTTTCTCTTGATGCAAATAAAACATCCAGTTGCAAAAGTTCAGGCTGCTTAATAGTTGTTGTAATCCTTGTTTAACAAAGGAAAGATCAATATTTTTGCACATGATTGGTTGTATATCAGCTTTAATCTGTGCCAGCCCATTCTTATTATTTTTGCAGCGGGTATTAGGTTCATGGTTGAACTACCACATTTGTGTTTGAGTCTGAGAATAAATTCAATTGATCCCTGTATTACCTCCTACTAATGAGCTAAGACATTTTTGCACTCCATTACTTTTATTAATGATGACATCGGCCATTTGGTGCTCTTCTTCTCGCTGTCTCAGATTCCCACAGCCCAGACAGTTCGTCTGTCTCCTCCCCTCCATCGGGGCAGCGCTCGCCTCCGCTGGTTCCCTCAGCTGCAGCTTCCATGACCTCCCTGCCTCCCATCACCACCACGGGGGTCAACAGCCCCATCAGTAGCATCGGCTCCCCCTTTTCTGTCATCAGCTCTTCACTGGGCTCGCCCTGCCTGCCTGGCACGCCATCGGTGGGCTACGGCCCTATCAGCAGCCCGCAGGTAAGGCAGGCTTCCTGTTCCTCTGTGATAGGATTTAAACATACAATCTTTTCCATGCAGTCATTTTCCTGTTCTATCTCAGGTCAAATTTAGCTTTTTCTTCTGTTTTTGGTGTTATATTTCAGGCCGGAGAATTAGATGGTTCAAGAACACCTAGAAAAGTGCATAAGCACTCTTACAGGCAGATATTTAAATCATAATCCCCATTTCAACTACAGCAGAAGTTAGAAATGAACATGATGAAAGATGGCAAGCAATACTTTCCTGAAAACACTTTTCTAAAACACAATTTTTAAGATTGTCCTGATTGTTGAGTGACAGTTAGCAAGTCCTGCTATAATACAATAAAATATCAAATAAATCACACTTGTTATGTTTAACATTAATGCAGATCATTCTTTGTCCGTCTTTGCCATGGGACCGTATAATTTAGCTACAGATTTATTGTTACTCTGGTTTTGGCCCCGTCTCTCCTCCTCTGTTCGCCTTGATGTTTACATGGTAGTTGTTATGAGTTTTGTTCTAAACACATTCTCTTATCGCCTCTGTTCTTACAAGTTTTGTCAGAGAGAAATGAAAGCGGCGAGGCAGGGCTAGGAGAAAAAATAGTAAAAACAAGGGCAACCCGGTTGCCTCTCACTCTGTTTTCTGTGTGTTCTTGCTGAGAATGTCGACCATGTCCTTTACATTATTACAGAAGTACAATGAGAATCATGACATTCTCCTTTGTCGTTCCTTCAGATCAACTCAACAGTGTCCATGTCAGGGCTCCACGCAGTGAGCAGCTCCGATGACGTGAAACCTCCGTTGGGCTTGCAGCCGCTGTCGCCCCACAGCCCAGGGCCGATGCTTTCCCAGAAGCGCCTTTGTTCCATCTGCGGAGACAGATCTTCTGGTGACTATCCACCTTAACAACTCTTTTCTCCACCTTCCCTTAGAGTTAGGGCCAAACACTGTAAACAATTTGGAGACCCTGAGATCCCTAAACTTTTCAGCCATTGCCATTTCCAGCAAATTGTCATTCCTCTTGTCTTACTTCTTTGGCTCTTGTCCTCCCTCCTTCCACAGGTAAGCACTACGGTGTCTACAGCTGTGAGGGCTGTAAAGGCTTCTTCAAGCGCACAGTGCGCAAAGACTTGAGCTACACCTGTCGGGACGTTAAAGACTGTATGGTGGACAAGAGACAGAGGAACCGCTGCCAGTACTGCCGCTACCAGAAGTGCCTGGCCATGGGCATGAAGAGAGAAGGTGAGCAAGCAGGGGCCCTTCAGCACACCCTGTAGATGGCTGGTTCCTCAGCCCCTCCTGCTCAGGACCCCTAAAAATGGGGCTCTTTCACCATCTAACACACTCAATTTTAGATTTGAATGCACTAAATGGTGCATTTTCACACATATGAGGATTTGATTTGGGTTTTAAAGACAATTTAAGTTGATCAATTATTTGAAGACAACCATGTATCTGACACAAAGCTCTTCAAAAGATTTAACTTTGCTTTTGATTGAGCTGATTGATCAGAACCTCATATTATGTGTTGTCCTCTCCAACAGTAGTTGAGGGGGAGGGGCAAACATACTACGCTCCTCTTGTAACTCCTCAGTGATGATGTGGATTGGTCGGGTAATGTCTGTGTCTATTTGCTGAGTGGACTCGACACTACTAATAAAGAGCCCACTACTCATGTGATACCATATAAGAAAATATCATATCAAACAAAAATCTAAAGTTTTGGGTCTCCGTTTCCAAAGGCCGTTCCACATGTGTTGGAGTAGTGGTCTTCTTTTGCTCAAAACTGGGGACACAACTAGAGTATCCTTCAGTGTTCTCTGATCCATTGAACTTCACTTGTATAGAACATAAACGGTATTCTCTGACCTTCGTATATTTTTCATGGTTTCACTATGACATTTAAGGCTCTTTTTGCTGTTGATTGGTATCTAAACTCTTCATTATATCCATCGTGATTCAGTGTTAGAAATATTCCATGAAGGTAAGATAGGCAACCTGGGCCTGAGGCCCCAAACAGCTATAGATTTATTATGATGTTTAGATATTAAAAATATAGAATTATGTTACTATTGTAACTCACTTTACTCCAAAATATCTTAAAAAAGGGCCAGCAAATCACTTGGATATATTCAACTCAACTGTATACTACTAACTGTGTACTTCTACTAAAAAGGAATACATTGTAGTACTACGTTTACCTGACAATGTGTTCTCACTGGTTACGTTGTAGATTCAGATTTGACTCTCAAAATACAAGAACTAAATATAATGCTTTGTTATTCATTGAACTGTGAAAGCTCCACCTTGAACAGACGTCAACAGTAAATGAAAGTACATGCTGATAACGGCTCTCCTTCACTCTTCACGAGGTAAACATTTCAGTGCCGGACGTTTACTGCGCGGTATTAATAGTTGTTCCACCACTGCCAATACCAACATACCCAATCAGAGAAAGGGGGGAAAGTAAAGCAGGACAGTGAAATACACTTAGCGGAGGTCATTTCTAAATAGGCCCTTTATTCGCTTGTTTTGGCAAAAATAACCAGTGTTATAAAGAAGAGCATGGCTGTAATTAGCGGTGGTATTTTGCAGACAGTAACGTTATTATTGTTAAAAGTAAATGGGGCAATACTGTCTTACACAGGGAAAAATGTATCCTAGTTGCGCTTTACTCAGAGTCACACCGGTGAAATCCTCTGGTTTGATTCTGTTTCCAGCCATCTATGCGCTCGTGTTCACTGCAGGGAAGTGAAGAAGAGTTTGGTTATAGAGTGAACTGCAGACAATGAGCCGCGGTCTGCCGCTGTGGACGACATGCTGGACTCAGGCTGCAGAGCCTCTCCGCTGCTGCAAAGAACGCTGTTCGTTTATTCAAAGTTTATCGAACACGTAACGGATAGATGCTTGTCTAAATTGCCCCAAACTCGACAAACACACTCCCATGGGTCCACAGCAATACCCGGCATATTTGTGAAGTAGGTTGGCTGAGCGGTTCATACAGACATTCCTTATAGATTATTATTACTATGAAAAGCATAAACTCCACCGTTAAGTCTTAAGCTATAAAACTGTAGCAATTTAAACAACAGTACCAGTATGTTTGAAATGAAACATCAAGAAGTATCACCATCATGAAGTTGCCTGAGTTTACCATACCATAATTAAGTATATCATTATATAAGTGAGTGTTGGTGAGTTGATCAGTGTTGGTAGAGCTAACTGTACTGTGTACGGTGCTTTATCATATAGGTTATATCATGGCAGCACATTACGATGCTACTTTTACTTTAGCGTGATGATGAATCAGTTTGTTTGATAGGTTGAGACGTGTGGTCGCTGCTGTTATATGATCACTGTAGCCATGGAGTCACGCAGATGAAAGGGACATTCGAGACAGCTGCTTTTTGAGGCACTTTCTATGTAAGCTGCCTGAGCCTGTAAAACATTCTAACACCACCCATAACCTTAAAGCTAGGGTTGGTAATCTTGAGAAACTAGCAATTGTGAGCTAGATTTAAGAAAATGATCCAACCGAAAACCCAGCCTAGTGTTGCTAACTCTTCTCCAATGAAAGTAGCTAGCATCACTAGCATCAAAAGTTGCTCAATCTAGCAAGAAAATCGGGACTCAAGTTGTCAACACTGACCACCCGTCCCCTCAGGTCTCCTTCCAAAGCCACTCCCCTAACATTGTCATAACGAAGGTAGACAACAAACACGGCTATTGTTGGTACTCGCAGCTGTCAAAAGTAGCTTCTTGTGGAAGACTCAGGTGACGAGCAATGACTGCGCGGGCGGGTAGACAGACAGACAGGCAGGCAGGCAGGCAGGCAGGCAGGCAGGCAGGGAGGAGGACAGGCAGGCAGGGAGGAGGGCAGACAGGCAGACAGGCAGACAGGCAGGCAGGCAGGCAGGCAGGCAGGCAGGCAGGCAGGCAGGCAGACAGGCAGGCAGGCAGGCAGGCAGGCAGCCGGTCCAATCATTCCATTCTGGCAGAATGAATGATTGGACCGGCTTATACAGAGTTCTGTCGGAGCATTTGATTCGTTAATTGCTGTCAGGATGTAATGAGAATTTCAACAAAAATATCTAAAATGTTTTTGAAGAAGACTACCAACCCTACCTTTTGGAATGAGATATTCCACCTAATTATGAACAGTAGTAAATGTATCAGTGTTGATATGTCTCCTGTGCATTGTTACAGAGCTTCGTTGGTATTTGTACATCAGGGATAGACAGAACGAGCACAGAGTGGTAGAGAGGGAGATGGGGGTGGGTAAGCCTTGTAAACACTAACCCCCTTTCCCCCTCTCTTCCTCTTTTTGTTTCCTCTCGTTCTCTCTCTCCCCCCCATCCCTCCTTCTGTAGTGGCCAAGATGAACGACAGATGTAAGGAGAAGAGGGAGGGAGGGGTGTGTGTCTGTCTGCATGAGTGAGCGACAACAGAGGGATATGACATATCTATGAGAAGGAGATAGTTTCAAAAGTCGTTCCATAGTTTGTTGCCAGTGCTCAGAGGTGGACCGGTGCCAGCCTCCAATCACTCTCCCATGTTTTCTTTAACCTTTATAGACCCAGGGAAAGTTTGCCGAGTATGCACACTCCTTTTAATCATCATCCTACTGTACTGTAAAGCTTCTTGTTGTTAATCCCACCTGGGTGCTGCCCAGTAGGGCCACAGAGCAGTTCCACTTCTGTCCAGGATTGTTAACTTCCGTTTTTGAGGAGACTTTGATTTGTAGAAGAAGAATGGATGTTCATTGAATTTCCCACTTAAGCCAGTTTTGGCTTCCAAAGTAGCCGCTCTCCGTCACATGCCGGCTTCTCAAAACCCGTGGCCACTGGCACGCCTTTTCTTGTTATGTATTAAACACAGACAAAACACAGTGATGCAGATTGATGGTGATAAAATCAAGCCCATCAATGTCTTTGCATTGCTTGACATTGAGTGGGCATTCTAGGAGTCACACTGAAATAACCTTTAAACTGTTTCCAGACCCGTTAATGATCAAGAATGAATCGACCACCAAAGAATACACCGTGCTAGATTTTCCTTTACAAAGGCTTCATTTAAACCAAATCGCAAAGAGTTTATTGCCAAGTACGTTACACATTGGTGCATAACAATATACACAGTGCAATAGTATCAGACATAATTCAAAAATAGAAAACAATAAACAATTGATATGTGCTGTTTTCGCAGCACGACCCAGATAGATTGGGTATTTGATTCATAAACGAAGCAATGCTTACAATTGCTGCGCTCCAAGTAATGACCAAAACAATAACAAAGTAATTTATATACCCTTCTGGAAAATGTAAATATGTGAGACTGTTGGGTACAAATTACACTGTATTAACTATTGGAACGTGGACATTCTCTGTTGTATTGGACCACTCTCAGCTTGGATGTCTGAGATCGTTTACATGTGTGTTTGGTGAACAGGGAGGACTCTTGGGCTTTTTAAAAAATTCAAATCCCCCCAATTGTACGTCAATGGAACAAGTCGGTGGTCCTCAACATTCAACCAAAGCAACCAAGATTGTAGGTCTTTATGGTGGATGTCCTTTATTCACATAACCTCAGTCTCTGTCTTCTGATGTCTTATTTCATTTCGTCCAATTATCTTTGGTCCCCCAAAATCGGATTACTGTGTATGAATTGTATCGAACACTCCACCCTTTTTTTTCTTCATGAAAAGTAGAAACCTACCTGTTCTTAATCTGGCTGTTAAAATGTCTTCAAAGAAATTTGGGTTTGTTTCGAGAAAAAAATGATATCCTGAAATTGAATCTGAGCAAAATGTCTACTTTCAGATTACAATGTTACATTTTGTTGTAACTCCCACCTTGTTAGTCAATAATAATGATTTATTTTGTGAATGTCATATAAGGTCCATTTGTGCCTTGGCAGGGGGCATGATAGCAGTATGAAAGACGGAATGAGAGACTTTGGATTGATCATGAATTGTACACATCCGTCTCTTTTCTTTTCCTTTCTGTTTTGCACATTTTGTCACGTCAATTTAGTCTTACGCTCTTTTTTTCTCTCTGTTTTTCTGTCTTAAATTTTTTATGCCATCCTCTCCCTCATGTCTCCTCTTCATTCATCCACACGTTTTCTGTTCATCTTGATTCTCTCACTCTGTTGTCTGGTGTCAAACCTTTTCTACTCAACGTCGTTTTCTCCTCCACTGCCTCTCCTTCTCTTTCTTTTGCTGTGTTGTTGACCTATGACCACTACCATGGCCGGCCTGCCCAAGCCCTTTGCTTTGGTAAATTGTCCATTCCGTTGCTCTTGCACCTTTCTTGCTCCTTTGTTCTTTCATGTCATCCTCCTTTCTCCCATCCTTCCCACACACATTATCTCCTCTCTGCTCTTCTTACTCTTTCTCGCATCCTCCCCTTTTCTTGTCCTTCATTGTTTTTCTCCTGTGCTCCTCTTTGCCCCCCCCCCGTCCTGCAGCTGTCCAAGAGGAACGACAGAGGAACAGGGAACGAGAGGGCGAGGTGGAGTCGACCAGTGTGGTGAACGAGGAGATGCCGGTGGAGAAGATTTTGGAAGCGGAGATGGCTGTGGAGCAGAAGACAGAGCTTCACGCAGACGGAAGTTCAGGTGGCAGCTCTGTGAGTAGTCTGGATGGTTTCTTTGAGGTGCTTTATTGAACATTATTATTATTTTGATACAAATATTGAACATATGAGGTGATAGTCAGCTTATATACGTCTTCTGTACTTCATTCAAGTATATAATCATGCTTACATTTGGTCAAAGACTGCAGGATTAGTTTGGCAATCCTCCCTTTCAGTCGGTATGAATAATGCAGGGTCTCTTCACAAACCTCTAATTGTGCTTTCTTCAGCCCAACGATCCGGTCACCAACATCTGTCAGGCAGCTGACAAGCAGCTCTTCACCCTGGTGGAGTGGGCTAAGAGGATCCCTCACTTCTCTGAGCTGGCGCTGGACGACCAGGTCATCCTGCTACGTGCAGGTAAGTCTGCCTCAAGACCGCTTAACCAATCAGTGGTGATTCACACTGAGATTCAGCAATACTGCCGCAAAGAAGACCTGCCGTTACATTCTGTCCCTCTGCAGCTGTGCCTGGTGGATTCTAAAATCTACCAGCCACTCAGTAGGTTTGTTTTTGGCTGGTGAGTGAAGCAAATCTAGCAGCCACTGGAACATTTTACTAACATTTGGCTGATGGCTGGTGCAAATTTCCAGCCCTGGAAGTAAACCCTGTATGTTGTCTTTTTGTAATTCATGTTGTCAAAGAATCTGATGAAGACCTTTGCCCTCTTTCCAACATAGAACTAAAATTAAGGTCCACAGTCTTCTAAATATCTTCCATTGTTTTGAACGGCTTTGGAAAATGAGGAATGATCCAGAGGGTTTGATCAAAACATCTGTTCCATGTAGTGATGCGTTGAGGCTCAGCTGAATAATGACAGCAGGGTGACTGTGGCTCAGTGGTAGAGCCGGGTCTAACCCTAACCCTTTAGGACCAGGATCATTGAGTCATATCGGGTATAAAGAAATAAAAACATCACAACTGTCTGTTCATTAGAAATAATGAAACACTCACTCTCCAACAGGCTGGAATGAACTCCTGATTGCATCGTTTTCCCATCGCTCCATCTCCGTGAAGGATGGGATCTTACTGGCCACTGGCCTGCATGTCCACAGGAACAGTGCTCACAGTGCAGGCGTTGGAGCCATCTTTGACAGGTAATACACAGATGCATATGTGCACAAAGCGTAGCTCTCTGACAGACATGCAACACCAGGGATTTACCCAGCATTCACAAGTTTGGGCGGGTGACCCAACTGGAGAGGACATGCCACCATAAACAATATAAGACTTTTCTACTCCACTTAGAATAGATCCGCTCCTACACAGTATTAGCACCACCTACTTTTAGCCTAGAATAGATGGAACCTGAGAAGCCAGGTCCCCTCTTGACTTCACCTGGTAAACCCACATCAGTCCTGAGAGCTAGATAAAGAGAGAACACTTTACTTGTACACATGAATTATTCAGGTTTAGCTGGATTAGTGACGGGTAAGAATTTAGGATACTGTGTCCTCATCTTTGGTTGGCTGCAGCTGCTGTGTTCTGTGTTGGCAGTGATTGGCTGAGAGACTTTGCTTCTTTAGTACTGCTTGTAGGGCGACAGCATGCTGGGGGAGGCTGGTGACTAATGCTTACCCAGAGACATGCATGTGCACACAGACACACACCGTCAATGGCTGGCTAATGTACAATACTAACTATTATATAATAAGGCTTAAAATGACATTAATATGGTAGTTTACATCCCATCATTGTGCAGAATGTGCCATGGGGATATATTGTTGTTACATCTTCTTTTCTGCTGACCAAAGAATAATTGTTTTGTGATCTCTTGGCATAAAGACTCTTGTTGTAAAGTAATTACAATCTTCACATAAACCAGACTTTCAATGATCATAAGATTCAAATGCACAATATTCAAATAATCTGTAATTAATAGGCATGAGGCAATCACTGCCAGTCTTTATATAATCTAAGGTCACAACATTGTACAATAAGTTATTCTATATATAATGTTTTAGAAATAATACTGGCTCTTATGTGTGTTTAGGCTGGGTGATATGGATCAAATCAAAAATCACAATACCTCACTATCAATATTGCGAAGATATTGTGGGGTTGACTATTGGTGCTCTCACAAAATATTTAGAAAATGAGATTTTGGATACATAATCATGAGTAATGTGGATATAATGACTAAGTGGCTAAAAGCCACTAATGGAACAACAAGAACAGTCTGGTGAGTTAGGAAAATGACATCACTTTAGTGTAATGCAGTCTTTAAAACCTGGAAAAGACTGAACGTATCCAAAGTCTAAGACGATGACTAAAACCCATGTTTTCTGTGTGATTAATGGCCGCAGGTACACAGTCAGTCCAGAGTTGTTCACATTTCTAAAACAAGTCTGTTAGTTTGAGATCCCCAAACACTTATTCCACGATCACCGAAAGACAAAACATGAACATGATTACAGCCACGCCGGCCTCCCCGTGAGTGCATCAACCATCAGTTGTTACTTCCAAAGTGAAATGACATGTTTGACATGTCACTAGAAACCAATATGGAGATAACTGACATCATGCCATTGTGTTGTTATTGTTGGTAGAGGTTGTTTCAGAATATTTTATTTCATTAAGATGAGACACTTGTGCTGTAATAAATGCTGGTTCATGTGAGAAGGGGCTGACACTGCATTATCCAGAGGTAGATTACATCGGCAGGTTTGATGCATGTTCAGTGCTTCGAGTGAGACATTGTTCTGTTCGTTACGTTGTCACATGCCTTGGTTAAAAAAAAATACTCAATCTCAATGACTTTATGTGGGAAAAAAAACATCACAACGTGTCAATTCACTGTTAATTACACAGTAATTACATTGTTATAAAGGATTAATTTAGCCTAGAAATCAGGTCAGGGTTACAGCAAGCTTATGGCAAACAGCTCAGTGATTTCCTCTGATACTTTCATAACACTGCTGTCTTCTAGCAGCAGCCTTTTGTTTCAGCTTGCATCCGTTTCAAGTACCTGAATCCTATTTTGTTAAGGAGGATGTAAAAACTAAATGGCTTTCTAGGAAAGCTCTGACCAACACAACTACTACGGCTTTTAGTACAAAACACGACATGACAGAAAAGGATTTCATTTTTTTGGACCCTTTAAAAGGCAAAAACAGTATGCTGGAGCAGACTAAGACATGACATTTGATGAATCTAAATCAAAAAAGTAACTTTTCATGATGTATTACCGTTTAGCGAGAAACCTATTAAAGGTTGAGGGTTAATCGTTTTCCACTGAACACTTTCATGTGTACTAACGGGTTCCTGCTGTAATGCATTTGGCTCATAAAATTGATCATAACCTCCTTTTCTGCTTATTTTAATCCATGTGAATATAGTTGGCGCCTTGTGTAAGACTACAGTTTATGATGCCATAAAACGGATCAAATGTTTATCAGAGGTACACATATAGAGAAATCTGTGTTTGGGTGCAGGTATAGGATAAATCAAACACGAAACATGTGAACAATCCTCATGCACACAACAGTCTTACACGCATCAGTTAGTACTTTGTACCACTACAGAGTGTCACTATGTGAAATCATATGTAAGCACTGACCATCTGTACAGCTGAAGGGCTCAGAAAACAGTCAGACTTCTGTTATAACAATGTAACTGTGTAATGACATTGTAATAACACATTGTGATTGAATACACAGGGCGCACAATGCCGAGGTTGGGGCCATATTTGACAGGTAATTACGCCTCCACACAAACACCTTTCTGAAAGCCCTCCTCTTGAAACAAACTGAACGGAAGCTGAAAGGTTGAAGCTCTGCAGGAGTCAGCCGGGTTTCTCTACAACATACCATTCTGAACTCGATCACTCAGTGAACTTTAGATGGTGATGACAAAGAGCAGAACTGCATTTTGAATTAGAATTCAGCACCATATTTGGTTTGTGGCTTCGACTGCTAAAAGCCTGCAGGATACTTTTCATCTTCTGCCCATTGACAAAGTCTTTTCTTCCCAAACCAAATGCCTGTTGCGCCTTGCCAGACCATAATGAGCAAATCCAAATGTGTGGGCCAGCTTTCCCAGTGCGTTAATAGAGGGACTAGACACTGCATTACTCCGTTGCAGGACACAGTTCTTTCACAGGCAGGTCAGAGTGTGTTTGGATGCCCTCACTTAGCGTCTGGGTCTTTTGGAGGTGGTGTTGGCCCTCGTCTGTGAGGGGAGGGGCCCGTTTTCTAAAATTAATGACACACACTGGGCGCGTCCCAAACATTACTCCAAGTGTATAAAACAACTTAATTTGCCAATGCACTATATTGTGGGCTTGGGCGGTGTCTGTGAAAATGTCCATTTCTGATGACAGATTAGTGAATAAACTGATGCGCCCCCCACCTCACTCACGTCTGCATAGTCCTCTCCTCTGTCATCCAAGTCATATTCCAAGCAGTTAAACAGGGTTTAAGTTTTAAGTCCAAACTGACATTCTGTATATTATTGCGCTTCACATCTGAGGATGCACAATGACTTGTTTGATTAACAATGTATGGATTTGTTGGTAAGTTTGTTTGAACTCTATTTTCGGCAAGTAAAATGGTGGATTCTGCTGTTTGCATGCACTTCTCTTGAATAACAAGACACCTTTCTTACTTCCTTAGGTTTCAAGATTTGTGAAGCATATAAGACTGAATGGATGACATTTAAAGGCCCCCCCCCCCCCCCCCCCCAAAAAAAAAATTTAAAAAGAACATTTGTAAATCAAAACTTTGTTTTTCCCACATGCCTCCACGGTGAACAAAGAATCCAAAAACTGAGAAAAGCTCATTACTTCCCAAACAAAGAAACTGTTTACCCAGAAATGTTTAAAATGGTTTTTTTTATATATATATATGAATGAATGAATGAATGAATGAGAGAGAGTTTTAGTGGTGGTGATGATGCATGTGTTTGGGAAGTAGTGAGCCTACGAGTGGATGAATGAGAAGCCTACGAGTGGATGAATGAGACCTGGGTTATATACTGCACGAGTTGTGACAGTTGGTAAACAGATGATTTAATACAGTTGTGCTGTTGTTCAATGCAGCCCACAAGACTTCTCTCTGTTATTTCATTTTGTGTGTGAAATATTCCTTTAAAGTATAAAGTACTGCACCCAAATTCCTGATCACTTCCTCGCTCTGGCCCTCTCTTCATTCTTCACTCTTCAGCACAGATATGTGTACACACAGTTTTTAAATCGAGGACTTTGATAAAACCAGTGGCCCACCCTAAAGGGGCCAGTTTTGAACCCTTGAATTATGTTAAACAAGGAATTTCCAATAAGTCAATGAATTTGGTGTCCTTGTTAGAAGATTGGTCTAAAACATGAGTGAGCTTTAGGGCTCAGAATAAAGCCGTGTTTGGTCCCTGAACCTTGCCATTTGCTCTCTTCTCCTTGGAGTCATCGGTTGAGATAGTGGAACATAGACCGTGTGGAAAAAGTGAAAGCCTGAAACCTAACGGGAAACTATAACGTTTTTACTCTCCAGCCATAGCAGATTTTAATCATTTGGCCCTTTCACACCACTTTTAATAGCAACTGTTGCACATTAGCTAGCACAGTTAATTATAAACAACACATTTAACCCACACTTATTAAGTAGAACAGAAAACAGAATTATCCGCAGCCAGAACTTACCACTATTTGGTGGCAGCAGTTTGCCACCCTTGTCAGAGTGTTGTGTTTGTTTAGTTGTTGTTTCCTCTGTAGAACCAGCAGTTCAGCCATGCCCTGTGTAGTTTAGACAAAAAGCCTTTCCATTGAGAAGTAACCGTGAATAAAATGTGATTAAGGAGTCTGGTCCCGGTCTGTTGTTCTTACTCTCTTATTCCCCCCTTTCTTCTTCTTGTTTTTATTGCTTTCTCGCTCTCTTTTCCCCTTATCTTCTTCTTCTCTTGTCCCTTTCCCTCGTCTCCTTTCTCTTCCCTAATCTGGAATTGTCTCCAACTGGGATCTCCTTCCACAAATCTCCTCTCCTCTCTGCAGGGTTTTGACAGAGCTCGTAAGCAAGATGAGAGACATGCAGATGGACAAGACGGAGCTCGGCTGCCTTCGAGCCATCATCCTCTTCAACCCAGGTACGTAGACGTGTGGAGGGTTATCAAACACGAGGAAGGACACCAAACGAGAGAGGACAAACTGAGTCTGGAAAGTCTGGAAAATGAAAGGAATTTAGAACATGGAAAAACATGTCAAATATGTTTCATACCTGTATAGAAATAACGTAGATGTTCTCTGTTTGCATCTGAAGATGCCAAGGGTTTGTCCATCCCCAGCGAGGTGGAGCAGCTGAGAGAGAGAGTGTACGCATCTCTCGAGTCTTACTGCAAACAGAAATACCCCGAGCAGCAGGGCAGGTAGGCTGTAACACACAGACATACTGGGAAATGCAAAAGGGGAGGTCTGCTCCGACAAATCAACAGTTAAATATTATTCAGCTCAGTAGCTTCAACATGGCACTGTAGCACAGAGCAGCTGGTAAAAGGCTGGGTGTGATGCAGTGGTTTCTGCCCACAGCCTTGACAAAAGACAAATACCATCTTCTGAATGTTCAGTTTACACGACTGGTAGATCTGAGGACATTTCTCTCTCTTCTCCGTCGTCCAGGTTCGCAAAGCTCCTCCTCCGACTCCCAGCGCTGCGCTCCATTGGTCTGAAGTGTCTGGAGCACCTGTTCTTCTTCAAACTGATTGGTGACACGCCCATCGACACCTTCCTGATGGAGATGCTGGAGGCCCCCCACCAGCTCACCTAGAGGACACCAGGTTCGGTCCGGTCAGGATCCGATGCACACCAGGATCGCCAACACGTCGCCCCGCGTTGGGTCGTTGGGCCTCTCCTAACTGCAGCACCTGCTGGTTTTAATGTGCCAGCTCTCTCACACACACACACACACACATATTCCATATCACTGGCTAATTATCATAACTGGCACTTGCCGATCTTAACTTGCATACATGAATTGACATGCAACATAACTAATGCACGGATCATATGGCTCTGGATGAACAGTATGCTAATACATGCTCACACACACATTTTCACCATCTTTTCCCAGACTCCTTTTTCCACCACAGGGGTTACGACTCAAACAATACAACCCCGTTTTACCACACATATACAGTTAATGTCTTAATCCTAAGTTAGCCTTCAGTTTTCACATTTCACAGAGGGGGTTCTGCTTTTCTGTAACTATACGGCCCTTGTTGGGTGAGTTAGTTACACGGCTAGCTGCACCTCTGTGTATTATATCCATCACTAGCCGGTTTCTTATTCATGTTTGGTTTTAGCTTAAAATCAGGTGCGTAGGGTTTCAATCATTTGTCCATCATCAAATGAATTCCATTCTTATTGGTCAGGAGGTGTCCTATAATGGACAGGCAGACACGCTCTCACAGGGAGCTCATCCAATCTCGTAAACATTTTATGCTTTTTTTGAATAATTATGCTGAAACTTGTTTGTTTCTATTTTGAAGTACTGTACTCATGAAATGAGAGCTTTTTCCAAGGCATTGAAATCCAGGAAAAGGGGAGTGGGAGCACTTTGTTGAACAGACAGACTTTGTCCCTCCCACCCTGATGTGCACAGCGGGCTTTGTAGGACGAGAAGAATGACTTGAATTTTTAATTATTATTTTTTTTTCTCCTAGTTTTGATTTCATCCTTTTCTCTTTTTTGGCAGTTGGTTGGCATTTTAAAGTGTCACAGGAAGTACAGCTTCATGCAAGACAAAAACATCTCCTCTTCCCCCCCAAAATCCCCCCTTTGCTGGAGGTCATTTATGCACCTTTGTGAGTTGTAACTGTGTAAATGTTTTGTAGAAATGACCATCAATTCTCACATACCTGAGATGACCTTGAAGGTACTAAGTGTAGGGTTTTCTCATTATTGCGTTGTTGTCCAATCAGATGTGAGGATTTGTTATAGCACTTGCTAAATGACTGACCACTTCCTGTACAGACGACCAGGATTGGTCAGCCTCTAGCTGAGCTGTGTGAGGTATTCAAGAGTCTGCACTCTACTCTGTAGATTGAGGTGCGAAAAGCTGAATGTTTCGTGCAACAGAGATAAAAAAAAAGACCCGATAAAATGATTTGACAGTGGCAATAATGCAACATTTCAATTCACCTGGTCATCAATCAATCAATATCAAATTCGGCTTATCTGCGATACATCGTCGGCCCTCCGCTCATGGATGAATCACCGGCTGCGTATAGATTGGCAAACAAGGCCCCGGTGTTTGAGCTACGTGTTAGTCGTGTTACTGTAATTAGTGCTGTATAATGGAAATCCTACACCTACTACCTGCAGCTCTGGAAGACTTCATTCAGTGTGTATTGGCTGGATGCTTGCGGCTGTTGTACAGTAGATCCAAAAGAAAAACAGGAGAGTCCTGCAGAGACAGATGCCTGTGAAATATGTGGCTCCAAAAAACGCATTTAAAAGCTCTTTTTTTGCTGTCCAATCAACAAGAGGCTTGCCCCCTTTGTGAGGTCATCATTATGAAGTTGTCATGGAGGCCAGGCCACACCCCTCTACTGCTTTTGCACCAACGTCTGCCGATGTCCCCGTCGTCCTCAGTAATCTCTGCTACTGAGATTGAACTGTTTGGGCGGCTGAATCTGAGCATCGCAGTGAAACACACGAAGACATACACAGTACACACGCTCAAAGGTGAGCAATACTGGGAACACAAAGACTTATGATGGTTTTTCTTAGAATTTCAAAGAGCGTTGGCGTTCCGAGGTGTATTTAGCCTTCTTATTAGTCACCACATTTAATAGCAACGAGAACCGTACACTCTGCAGTATCCTTCTACAGGGAAGAGGCACAGCTGCCCTCTACCAGGTGCTAAATAACTACTATGGTTAGTTTAAGACTTGCACATTTACATCAATACAAACCGTATGCAAGTACACATCACATCAGCCGTTCCCTACTCTTTGAATAGGTCTGTTGAGGATGTAGGTTTCCCCTTTTTTATTTGTTACATTATGACCCCTAACTTTATTGCAGATTCCCTGCGATGGGGAATGAACACCAGCTAAGTGCGTGTACATTTCATCTGTGCTCCTCCAGACACAGCCAGTGTTTGTTTTTGTATTTTAGAAAGCACTTAGGCCGGTGGAAGCAATGGAAGTAGCTGGTGAGTGTTTGGGGTCCACCGGCTGCTTTGACCAGAATGAGCAATGAGCTTCCTGCCCTGCAGATAGTCCAAATACTTGTCAGAGATGACCCGTGGCCTCCCCCCCCATGTGATGCGGACTCGGAGGCCGACAGTTAGATGGCCTGTAAGACAGGTGGCTTTGTTTAACATGTCAGTACGGTGGTCTCGCCTTAAGACTTTGGTGGAGTTGTAGTTTTTCTCCAGCCATGCATACACTCAGCCAACGCAAAGTAGTCTCCAGAGGGTTCATTCATATGGCAGCCTTACTCTGGTGTCAGTAAAGAGAAGCATGATGCCGTGTGGTCTCAGAGACTTGAGTGAAAAGCGACTTTCTGCCACCAGACTTTGAGAACTTGTGATCAGCAGTGGAAGGAAGTTTGTGAGATCGACCCACTCGTGACTTTAGGGCGCGCTTGTCGTCTATCATCTCAGCATCCATCTCTGCACCGTTACATGTTTTTGGAGCTTCCTCTGCTGAATGTTTCGGCCTGCTGCTACCGCACCGCATTTCTAGCTGGAGATGGGAACGATTACACAATCAGTCGAGTGCTGGAGGGAAAACAATAGCAGTCACATACTCGGCTGACTGAGCAAATACCAATCAAAGTAAAACATATGCAACTTGTTCATTCATATTGTGGTAAACGGTTGCAAATTGTGCATTGTGTTTTCGCCAAGTCTGTTGCATAAGTTGATATTAACTGGCAGTGAGAAGATTCAGAATTCCCATCCCTCCAACTGACAGCAACAGGCTTAAGTTCAGCCTTTCTATGTTTAACATTGTGCTCTGAGCTTAGGTCATTTAGTGGGTGATGAACAGTGCAGGTTCTGTCTGCTAAGCCACTTTAAGATGTGCTCATCGAGCAGACTGTTCTAGCAAGAGCTGGTGGTTGGTAGTTGTTTGTTTTTGCATTTATTATAGGGTGTGTGTGGCCACGTGCGTTCATGTGTAATGAATCTGTTAGCAGCTACGCCTTTTGACTGGCAGACACTATAGCGTTGGCGGTGATGTGCTGAGCGCTGTTAGTTTGGAGCAGAAGGAGCTGAAGCTGACGTGTTGACCTGATGCTCTGGGCTTTGCGTTGGGACGAGCCTGTAAACGTAACCCAGTGATTCTTGGCCTGTTTGAAAAAGGATGTGAAGCTTTTTTTCTTTTTTGCTGGACAAGCGTCGTAGAGGCGTGAGGAAGGGATTTAGCTCAGCTGTCCCTCTCTGCTGACTTACTTGGGTCGCACCGTGCCGCCCACAAGTCGTTGGCAAACCGTGTACACTCAAGGCAGACGCATGCTGTGACCTTTTGACTGTGTAGCAGTATTTGTTGTCGCCATCTTTGTTACATTTTGAAATGACTCGCTTTCTGAAAATCGATTGATTAAACTTGCTTTTTCTGTTTTGTTATGGATTGCAGGCTGTGACTGAATAATTGATCATTGTGTATAGACTAGATATCGGGGGGGATTTTGACCTATCGACACGGGGCCCATCCCGCTCTGATCAACGAGGCAAAAACCAGCACCCTCACTGGTTCATTGATCACTGCCGAGGTGTTTGTGGATGTGGCTGTTTTTTAAAAGCAGGGCCACTCAGTCCCCGGGGCTTGTTTTGTCATGTATGTTGTGATCGTTGTGCAGCCCACTAAAGAGAGTGCTAACCGTGGCCTGTGTAGTGCATACTAAAGAGGGGCCATAATAGGAATGGAATGACAGCTCGGGTGGAGAGGGGACGACTGGTCTCTGGAGTGGATCAGTGTGTGGCCCCCTCTTGGTGCTCAAGCTGTGCATTGGTGCTTTTTTTTCTGGGGTCCCGTGGGCCTTAAAACGTCTGCTTTGGTTTCCAGGACACAGGGAAATGCAGATATGACTGAAACACAAACTAGGAATGATTGAACAGGGATGTATTCAGTCGCATTTGTCTGGTTGTTTCCTGCAGCCGCTGGGACCTGATGGTGTGTTTCACCGTGTTAGAGTCCCGGGTGGCTGTAGCTGGATCAAAGCAAACTTCAGAACTTGTTGCTCTAGTTGTAGACACGGTGTAAAGGCCACCAGAATCCACAGGTCCAGTTACATTGAATGAACTTGATGGGAGGGATCAACCGAATATGATTGCTCACTTTGAGGAGGAAGTTGTCGCCGGTGTTTTATGTCGGAGGAAGTGTGGAGGGTGAGTCAGAGAGAGAGAAGAAGGGGAGGGACTTAACAAACTGATCAGGTGTTGATTTGTCGATCAAGAAGAAAAACAGAAAAACCAATGTCCCGGTAGATTTAGAATCTTCCTTAATTGTTTACTCTTCACCTTGAAAAAAAAAAAGAAATCACTGTTTATTTGTCTTGTTTCCTGTCTCCCTCTTCACCAACTATGCTATTCATCTTTTGTTTATTACAAAGTATTAAACAAGTACGAGAGCTGTAAAATCAGAATGGATTCTGTCACTCTTATTGTTCTTTGTTCTGGTTCTATCTCCCTCCATCGTACACATGGAGCCGGTGGACTTTTGTGTGCATCGGGGATTGAAAGAAGAAAAAAAAAAAATATGAATCCTTTTTTTCAGTGATTGATTCTGAATCTTGTTTCTCTTTGTTGTATCATGTCTGAGTAAAGGTTTTAATAATGTATGTGAAGTGTTTTTCATTGATTATTAAAATCTCTGCAAAGGATTTTATTATTAAACTAAGTTCCAAATAATTTCAGATATTGCAAGATGTAAATGCCCTTAAACACACTCTGGGTTGAAAGTTGCGGTGCACTCATTTCCTTAAGGCTCCACATAAAACACCCACTCACTGTCCGTGAGTTGGAAGGTCCGAACCAGACCCCCGTGTCCTGGTGGAGGGACGGGCAGCTCCTCAGTCCAGCAGGACCGCAGGGCCTCGGTCGACCGCTGGCACCGCACTCCCATCTCTCCACCTCTAGAGGGAGCACTGACCTCTCCTGTCAAAGTTTAACCACCCTGGTCTCCTGCCGCTCCACCTCCATCAGAGCTGCAGGGTGGAGGACTTCTCCTGCACTGCCTACCTAATGCACCTCGGCCAATAAGGAAGCAGCAGAACCGAGATCAGCACATTTCTATAGGTAAATGTCACCGTGCACTGGTGGTGGCTCTTGTTCCCTCTGCCACATATTAAAATGTAAAGACAGGAATGTGGGTGTGAGTTTGTATCTGTATTTAGGAGCTGCTCTCTCGCTCCATTTCTCCTCTCTCCTGCCACCTCCTTCAGTCTGTCTCCTCCCTCTTCTCTGACCAGGGACATCCAGAGCACAGTTCACCATTCAACGCTTGAGATGACGCAAAGAATTTAAGCTCCTAAAAGAGCTTATTAAATGTATTTTTATGTCCTGTTTAAAGCCTGTCTGGCCAGCAGTTAGAGTTCTGCTCACCAAGAGTATTTCAAGAATTTAACAACGTTGCTTTTGGCAGATCCTTGTGTTCATGCATGTTGTTAGACTGGCAGTAATGAGAAATGCACACCAATGGGATCTCAGCAGCTTTTATTGGATACTAGCATTACTGTAGCTATTGTTTCAGGCCACAAAGTTGACCGTCGTATTTAAAAAAAGACCAATATCTCAATATTTCACCCTTTAAAATGGCCCTGTATGATTTTCTTAGGTCCAGTTTTGGCACGAACCACGGTTGGAAGACAGACGTAGCATAACGTACAGTATTATTGTGTTCTTCCTCTTGTGTTGGCCTGAGACGGATGAGACGGACGTTGAGCATCACTCTCCATGTTGCAGATGCCTGAGCACTGTGGGAAGCTGCTCCTGTGGTTCCAGCAGCTGCCAGCAGAGGGAGCAGCCACAGAGAGGGTTGTGTTCAGGACAGCATGGCGGCCATGTTGTCAGCATCATATGTAGAGAAGATTATTAACACACAGTAAGTTTTGGTTCAGGACAGTCATTGGCAACATGACTTAAACAGTGTTAAGTGTTGGATTTCAAACCCAGATTTCCACCAGCTGATACTTTTATTCAGCTGAGCACAGAAACACTAAATGCTATCACATGACATTTAGTCATTTCAAAGGAAACGTTTAATTATAGTTCATAATTTGAGACCCCTCGTGGTCTGTTCGAGTGCCCCCTTTGAACTATATTCCGTCATGCTTCATCTTTAACAGCCTGCCGTCCCCTTCCAATCCCCATCTTCCTCCTTTACGTCTTTTCCTCCTCATCACATCGTCTCACCTCTTCTCCCTCACTCTCTATCCTCTCCCTCTATCCTCCCTGTTAACCTCTCGATCTCTCTCTCCCCAGTCTCCTTCTGGCTCTAACTCTTCCTCCACCTCACTCCTGCTTCTCACCCCAACTCCCTCTCTCCTCCGGTGTGCGGGTGAGGGCGAGCGCTGCAGAAAGACACCTTTGATACCCAGGGTCAAATTCCCTCTCCGTTTCTGCCTCACGAATGTCAATTTTCACCGGGTGAATGTTATTACTGTGCACCGATTAAACCAGCCGGCAGCGCTTTGATGGATCCTGTGTGGTGGAGATACAACACACACACACACACACACACAACCAAGGTGTGAAGAAGGAAGAGCTTTATTGAGCATGTGTACTCTGAAATGGAGAGCAAGACGTCAGGTGTATTTTCTGTTACAAAAATATTATAATCCCCCCACACACACACAAACACACAACTTCAAAGTTTGCACATTATCTCCTGTCTGCTTAAAAAAGAAGTCCCTTTTCTGCTTTATTGCATAAACTATTAGGAGTTATTTATTTTCGTTTGCATGCATGTTTTAATAAATTAAAATACATTGAATTTATTAATTTATACATTTTGAATAAATTTAAACATGCATGCAAGTTCCTTACAAATTCCGACCGCAGTCAGATCATTGAAGTAAAAAACTAACATTTAGCTTGCTGATTCAAACCATCCAATGTTAACAGCCCTGAATGAAAGTGTTAATAAATCATTTTCATGTTTACTGCATGTCGGATCAAAGTGTCTGATGGGTGACAGTCAAAAGTGAAAGCAGCTTTCAGTGTGGAATTTAGCATCAACTACATATCCAGTCATGTCTCCACGGTAAACGTATCTTTTTATGGCATGGAAGGCATAAAGGCTGCGTCGTGCAGCTTGTTGCCTCGGTCGGGCCCAGACTGTGGGGACTGTAAGAAACTTTGGAATGACTAGTGACAACATTTAGGGAAGCCAAATTACTGGTCAGCCACCGTCCCATGTTCTTTCTGTAATGATACGCTAGCGTTTGGGTACACACAGACCAAATGTGAGCCAGGCTACACTTAGACGACTGAGCGCCTCCTGAGCAGAGCTAAATCTGGGTGAAACGGAGAACTGGGTCCCATGTAAAGTATATAGTTCTGCATTTGAGGGAGGTTGGTCTTGCTTTCTAATCAAGGGAACATGGAAGATAAGTGAGACTGAGAGATGTGCTGAAAGAAATGTTTCAGAAGGACACGCATGGTGCAACTGGGCATTTTAAAACTAAATGCAAAACTGGACAAAAGGTCATAAGCATGAGGTCCATTTACCTTCCAGAAGAAGATGAAGACGCTGACTGGCTGCCTCTTTGTATGATGTCAATAGTATGCACGCCACAATATCACAGTGACACAATGAGGAACGCTATACTGTAGTTACACAACTCTCCAAGTAGAAAAGTCTGCTTTCAGAAGTCCATATATTATTTCATTTATTTTGTCAGTTATGATGCACATGTTTTTGCACTGTTAGACCCACTGTCATTCAACAGGGACACTGATTCAGTAGTGTAGTGTAGGGGAAAGCAGCATTATTATAATTCATATAACTGTCTGTTAGAGGTCGTAGCAGGCTCAGTTTTGAAGATACTGGTGTCATAAACTATAGAAGACCCGAGGGCTCCACTGGTACCAACCATGTCTTGTCGGGGAGGGGGCTACATTCCGTTGAGAGAAAGGTGTCATGGCCATATTCACAGGGGTCACTTGACCTCTCACCTCAAGATATGGGAATAAAAAAGGTGCCCTACACATGTCTTCTCTTTACAGACATGCCCACTTTATGATAATCCCACGCAGTTTGCATACAGTTTAAATGTGTTACTGTTGCCTTTTCTAAAATGGTGTATTTGAATATTTCTGTGGTCCCTGAACGGTCTTGGAGTTTCATAAATTGGGTTTGACTGCAGCTGAGACTCTTGAGGATCCAGTGAGCCCAACTGTATCCATGTGTGATGATGTTAGTCCTCATAGTGAGAACTCTCTTTGAAACGGTGCAACATGACCTGTTGTGACCTCCAGGATAATCAGTCAGGAAACGTTCCGACCACAAACTAGAGACCCGCTGCATTCAGAGCTGTATTTGACAGGATTATTGTCATAAGGGGTCGCTTGCCATTCAATTTTGCGATTCTTTCAGAAATTTCAAAAAAATGTCAGAAGTGTTTGACACCAAATCACAGCGTGGATTTGTCTATGGGGTTCCTCAAGGGCTTGGTGTTTTAATGTGGTATTTTTTTGGAGGGATTTTGTCGTCTTTTTTTTTCAATCAGCTCTCAGATGATCAGAAAATGTTAAATTTAACACAAAATCTGAAGCACCAAAATCCCCAAATTGCTGCCACAACTTATGAAACATACAGTAAGTGAGCATGACCAACACAGAAATGTTTATTAATCTCAAATTCATCTTCTGGTTTTCAGCTTTCAGATGATATAGACCACTTCTGTGTGTCACATTGACACTGCAGCCTCACAGGTATTTCTCCTGCCGTCTCGGTTGTTCGTACAGTGATGGACCGGATGTGTCTCAACTGAGATAAAAAGCTCTTTGTTTCGAAAATCAATGATTCGTTTTTTCTGTCCTCGATCTTTTGTGTTTGCGTCCCCGAGACAAACCTCCGCGTTCATCTCTTTGCACCTTCTTCTCTTCTCCTCCGCCCCCGCGCAAGAGCTCCTGTTCCTCCAGTCCACATGTCAAACTGGGCAAGCTACTGATGCTGAGCCCCAAATTGCTCCCAAATGCTGTGCCATCAGTTTGTGAATGCGCATTAGTTCACTTCCTGCAATCTCTGCCATCAGAGTGTGTGCGTGCGTGCGTGCGTGCGTGCGTGCGCTGAATGGTGACATAGCGACTAAACTAGAAAGGCTATATAAACGCAATGACCGTTAACCTGTTAGCTTGTAACTCCATCAGCACCATTAACAGTGTAGGCAAGCAAGTTTGGAGATTGGGTGTGTTTTCTTACAATGCTATTTGGGGCCTTTAGCTGACTATATTTAAGTTGTCATATATACAGAAGTATCTTTTTTTTCCCACAATTTCTGAACACAGTTGCTTTACTAACTAGGAGGGCACTCTGAGAGCGCAGACCTCCACTAAGGCCTTGTCTATAGGATGATATCAGGAGGGGTTCTTCCTTGGACAGTTGGACAGTATTTTTTCCGTAATCCTGCTGACAAACAAACCAAACTAAAATCTCTACTGGGATCATTTAATCCGATCCCAAGTGTTAGAAAGACTCCAGCCCGTTTCCTCTCCTACGCCGTATTACTGCGCTCGTCCCTCTTCCTACCATCTCCCAGGTGTCTTCTCCTCCTTCATGCCCCTCGCTCACTGAGCTCTCTTCCCTCCTCGGGTGACTTCGTCTTCATCCCCTC